TCGTTCCTGTTGCCCAGGCTGGAGTGCAATGGCACGATCTTGGCTCACTGCAACCTCCACCTCCTGGGTTGATGTAGTTCTCCTGCCTCAGCCTCCTGAGAAGCTGGAATTACAGGCATGCACCACCATGCCCGGCTAATTTTTATATTTTTAGTAGAAATGGGGGTTTTGCCATGTTGGTCAAGCTGGTCTTGAAATCCTGACCTTGAGTGATCCTCCTGCCTCGGCCTCCCAAAGTGGTGGGATCACAGGCATGAACCACTGCACCCGGCCTAGTAGGGACTTCTTTTTTTTTTTTTTTTTAATCCTGGGACTCACTTGAATCAGCTGCCTTCTGGGTCGCCCAATAACCAAGTTGAACAAGATTCTCAAGTGCAGCATATCTTGCCTTCAAAATCCAGAGAGGCAAAAAAAATGCCGTGCCTCTTTCTTAGTGCCAGGAAGCGCAGGGTGCAACATCTTGTCCTGTACAGCAAGCTCTAGGACAGCGCTTTTGGAAAGAATATGGTGATTGAGGGAATCTGAGGAGATCTGTGTCCAATATGGCAAGAATAATATGCACAGTGGATCATGTGGAGAGAGTTCTTCGCTTTTTTATTCCTGCTGTCTGCTTTCAGGTAACAAAACTGATGAGTTCTAATTTTTACCACCCTGCCCTTTGTGTCCAAACCTGACAATGGCCCATCGTTATCTTAGTATAGTCAGTGATGATTTGACAAATAACTGTCAAGGCCTGGCTTTGCCTTATTTGAGGATTACCTGGCGCCATTTTACAGGTGAGAAAACTGAGATCATGGTCAAGAGACTTGACTTCAGTCACACAGTAAGAACATTAATCTGAACTTGCGGCTTCCGATCTGGAACTTGTAGGCTGTGGGGGTGGAGAGAGACACGCGGTCATGTCCTGCTTGCCATGAGCAAACGCTGTGCCAAGTGCTCTACTGGTGTGAACTCACATGCCATTACCGGCCCGTGAAGTGGGCGCTGTTATTATTCTCCCCACTTTATAGACAGGGAGTCCAAGACTCGGGGAGGTTAATGACTTGCCCAGGGTAACTCGGAAAGAGGTGGGGATTAGAACCAGGTGGTCTGGTGTCACATTTTGGGATGTCAATCACTAGCCAGTATAGCTGCCAAAGAGTTAGGGACACAGCCACCCACAGATGGGTGGGCACTGCTCACTGCTTTTCCATGGAATGAGTTCATGGTAAAGACACCTGAGGAGAAAGGAAAAGGAGCAGGACTTTCCAAAGCCTTGAACTACTGCTGGAGCAAAAGAGCTCTGTACGGAATTGCCCTGGGAAGACTAGTTTCAAGCTTTTTTTGGTTTGTTGTTTTCAGAGTTGGGGTTTTGCTGTGTTGTCCAGGCTAGACTTGAACTTCTTCTGAGTAGCTGGGGCTAGAGACACATACCACCACATCCAATTCAGTTTCAAGCTTTAAGAAACAAGAATGCGGCTGGCACAGTGGCTCACGCCTGTAATCCCAGCACTTTAGGAAGCTGAGGTGGGCAGATCACCTAAGGTCAGGAGTTCGAGAACAGCCTGATCAACATGGAGATACCCCGTCTCTACTAAAAATACAAAATTAGCTGGGCATGGTGGCACATGCCTGTAATTCTTGCTACTCGGGAGGTCGAGGCAGGAGAATCGCTTGAACCCAGGAGGCGGAGGTTGCGGTGAGCTGAGATTGCACCATTGCATTCCAGCCTGGGCAACAAGAGCGAAACTCCATCTCAGAAAAAAAGAAAAGAAAAGAAAAGAAAAGAAAAGAAACCAGAATCCAGGACGTTTTTCTAACCACCAGCCCCAATCCTACCCTTGCAGGAATGTATGTTTTACAGCCATTTAAACCCAAACATGGACTCATTTGCAGAGCCATAGTATCTTTTTGCAAGTGGTTTTCTTTCAGCAGAATGTGCTTTGCCAACATCATGAGCAATCATAGCACCCTCCCACAACACCACTGAAAGGAGCAGTGGGATATCTTAGATTTCACATAATGCCTTTTCTCTGAACAGTTGTAGGCATTTGCAGAGCCAAAGCATTACTTTATAGTTACTCTTCCTGTATCTATTTAGTCAACACGGATTCTATGCCTACAGTTCACCAAACATGCAAAAGTAAATAAAAACTCAGCTCCCTGTTTTGGAGTTCACATCTGAGGGAAAAGAAATAACCATCGCGTATTGACTTTTTATTTCTTTCCTTATTTTTTTGAGACAGGATCTCTCTGTGTCACCCAGGCTGGAGGACAGCGGCACAATCACAGCTCATTGCAGCCTTGAGCCCCCAGGCTCAATCGATCCTTCCACTTCAGCTTCCCAAGTAGCTGGGAGCACAGGTGCATGCCACCACACCCAGCTAATTTTATTTATTTATTTTATCAGGAACGCGTGCACTTTATTGAACACCAATGTAGAAAAGCGTGTGAGGACAAAGTGCTGATACAGGACTTGGCTCGGGGCAGGGCGAGGAATGGAAGCTGGAGTATGGGAAACAGGTCACGGGCAGAGCCCCTGGCCTGGATGATTCCTCTCGATCTCTTGATAGGCTTGCAGAATCAGTATTGGGATGATGATCAGCAGAATGGTCATGATGATGCCCATGATCAGGGCCCAGATGTTCAGGCATTTGGCGGTGGAGGCATCGGTCTGGGCCCTGGTCAGGTCACCAACTATCTTCCTGTCCTGAGACTTCACAGAGTAGGCAAACGCTATGAAGCCCAGGCAGCAGGAGTTCATGAAGAGGGTGCTGAGCAGGGACCAGATGACGTGGTTGGGCACAGAGGTCTCGCTGTGGATGTGGATCACGGTGGATGTCAGGGGAGCTGGGTTGTGGGGCGCCCCCAGCGCAGCCACCTCGTGCTCTTCCCTCAGCATCTCATAGTTGGGTGGACGGTCGGTGTTGGCGGGAGTGAAGAAGGATTGGACAGTATGGCTCGTGGTGTCCAGGGAAGACCAGCTGTGGTCAGGTTGCTGGGATGGTTCTCAGTGGGCCCTCCCTTTCCCCACTAGATTATTTTTTAATTTTATATTTTTGAGACAGAGTCTCACTCTGTCACCCAGGCTGGAGTGCAGTGGCATGATCTCAGCTCACTGCAATCTCTGCCTCCTGGGCTCAAGTGATTCTCCTGCCTCAGCCTCCCAAGTAGTTGGGATTACAGGTGCTCACTACCACGCCTGGCTGCTTTTTGTATTTTTAGTAGAGACGGGGTTTTGCCATGTTGGCCAAGCTGGTCTTGAACTCCTGACCTCAGGTGATCTGCCCACCTTGGCCTCCCAAAGTGCTGGGATTACAGGCATGAGCCACTGCACCTGACCTATTTTTAAATTTTTGTAGAGACGGGTCTCCCTATGTTGCCCAGGCTGGCCTTGAACTCCTGGGCTCAAGCGATCCTCCCTTCTCAGTGTTCCAAAGTGCTGCCATGAAAGGCAGGAGCCACCCTGCCCGGCTGCACGTTAACTTTTTAGTGCGTCTTCGAATTGGAAATTAGCAGGTAACAAGTGAAATAGAAGTGAGAGACTACGAACCTGAAATGGTCAGCCCTTGGCCCTGACTTCAACAGGGACTTTTTTTTTTTCTGTGGGTCTGACATGTGTATGGCTGGGTTTCTAAATCAGGCTTTATTATAGAATTAGTGCATGAATTTATAATGAGCCAGGTCTAGTAAAATCGGTCCTTGTTCTTATGAAGGTATGAAAAAAATTATTTCACAAAATGTTATATAGTATAATAAGATATCCCCCTTTTTTTGTTTTTTAGGAGAGATGGGGGTCTCACTATGTCGTCCAGGCCGGTCTCAAACTCCTGGGCACATGCAGCCTCCTGCCTCAGGCTCCCAAAGTGTTGGGATTCCAGGACTATAGTGGGCTCAAAGGTCAGCTGATTTACTCGAATAAACAACAAATCCATGGCAGAAGTGATAGGTTTCAAGTTTATTTTCTTCATTTGTTTCCACTCTGAGGTGGGAACCTTGTCTTATTTGCGTGGAATTCTCAGTGCCTGGTACAATGCCGGCAGGTAGGAGGGGCTGAATAACTATGTACTGTATTGACATTCTGAGGAAAATATAGCAAAGAAAGGAAGAAGAGGAAGGCGTAGAGGATAATCGCCCTTCCAGGGAGGGGCGGCTCCGTGTTGCCTCCTCCCCCAAGCTCCCGATGGGCCCCTCGCAGGCTGCCCTCCTGTGGGTCCACGAGCCTCCTCACGCACAGCCGCGGGTCAGCCTGTGTGTGTGGCAGATGATTCTTCACTCACACGCCTGTGTGTTTGCCACGGGCACCCGCGTGGATGAGGATGATGAGGAAGAAGGAGCCGTGGTTGACCCTTTCCTGTACAGGTGACTGTGAGGCTATGCAAGGAGAGTGGGGGTCGGGGTCTTTTCGAGTCTCTGCTCTGCCACCAGAAAGGCCCTGTGGCCTGTGGCAAATCCCAGAGGCCCTCAAAGCTTCAGTTTCCTCATATGTAAAATGGGAATAACCCAGACCAAGTCATTGTAGGTGGGAAATGCCCAGTGACTCAGTGCATTGCTTTGTCAACTGCAAAAGGCTGCTGCTGTCAGGCTGGAATTATTATCATTGTTATGTTTATATTATATTGTAGAGGAGTAACAAGAAGTGGAGGTCCATCCAGTCAGCTTATTCAAGAGAGTTGAGCCCTCCTCTCAGCCTCCTGAGTAGCTGAGATGACAGGTGCGCGCCACCATGCCCGGCTAATTTTGTATTTTGAGTAGAGACGGGGTTTTGCTATGTTGGGCAGGCTGGTCTTGAACTCCTGACCTCAAGTGATCCTCCCACCTTGGCCTCCCAAAGTGCTTGGATTACAGGTGTGAGCCACCGCCCCAGTCCGGTTGTCTTTTCCTATTTGAAAAGGGCCAAACAAGGAGAGCAGTGAGTCTGATTGTTAGCATTCAAACACCTGATTGCCATTCTCTCCAAAGACCGCTGTCTAAGCATTGCTTTCCAGGCAGTGGGGCAGTCACAGCACAGCCCGTCAAACGCTGGGGCTCTGCTCTGCATGGGCTGAACGCTTGTTGGCACAGCCCACTTCTGGAAACCGTGCTCACCACTTTGATACACACTATGATCACTGCCATAGAAGTGTTTTCACCTTTAAAATGGAATTAGTCCCTCTGTGCGTGGAAGCCTGGGCCCAAGCCAGCAGCTGTTTCTTTCTTTTCTTTTTTTTTGTTTTTTTTGAGATGGAGTCTCGCTCTGTCTCCAGGCTGGAGTGCAGTGGTGTGATCTCGGCTCACTACAAGCTCCGACTCCCTGGTTCAAGTGATTCTCCTGCCTCAGCCTCCCAAGTAGCTGGGATTACAGGCATAAGCCATCACACTCACCTAATTTTGTATTTTTAGTAGAGACGGGGTTTCACTATGTTGGCCAGGATGGTCTTGAACTCCTGACCTCGTGATCCATCCACCTCAGCCTCCCAAAGTGCTGGGATTACAGGTGTCAGCCACCACGCCTGGCATGGTTGTGGGATTCTATCAGCAAATGGATGTGCCAGCCATCAGAAGCGTGGGTATTTTCTTCCTTTCTTTTCTACCAGCCCCCAGAACACTGAAGGGAGCATTTAGCAAACTTCTTGTTCTTGCTGACTAGGGCTGAGGGTCAGACCTCAGATCTCCCCTCTGGGTTTATCTGTCTCTTCAACCTTGCATGCTGCTGGGCCCTGAAAGGCCTCCCAAATGTCATCCTCTCCTCAAGGACCTTACATCCTGGAGAGGAGGGGAGGAAACTCAAGAGAGTGCGGTCTGGGGGCATCTGGGCTGGGCCTTAAAAACTAAGTAGGATCCTGATAAGAAGTCATGGGTGGAAAGGGTGTCCTGAGCATGGGGAAGGGCTTGGGCAAGGATGTGGGGGCAGGGTGGGTGGTCACTTGGAGCTGTGGCAGGAGCACGCTGGGTCAGATCAGCTTGCCCTCCCCACTTCTCTCCTTCTTCTCTCTCCTGCTGTGGGTGCTTTGCTGCCAGAAATTTCCTGAGCCTGAATTTGCTGTTAGACTGAATGGCAACGGACCGGCTGGGGCAGTGGTGACAGGAGGGCAGGGGGAGGCGTCCCGCAGCAGCTGTAGCCCTGTGTCAAGGGGCCGCATGTCTAGATGGTGCTGGGTCAGAGCTGGCAGTGCCTGGAGGGGGTGGAGAGGGATGGTGAAGAGAACGAGACAGCCTGAGAGTCTGGAGAGACTGGCAGAGAAAGTGCTTGGCAACTTGAGAGCCACGTTCCAGGACTGCTTGGAGGTCATCGGGGAGGGATACTGCTTGGTATCCTGGTGGTCTCAAGGATAGCAAGAGATACCCTAGAGAGCCCAAGGAGGCTCTAGATGTTCTGAGGGACCCACGAAGCTAAAGGCATCAAAGGAACTAGAGGATGTGACGGTCGGGGAAGAAAGATGTTAGAGGGAATTGAGGATCTCACAGACCCTGAGTGCTGGAACTGGAGGGCTGGAGGGGATGGGAGATTTAAGGGTTTCCCTCCTCCCTCCTCGATCATGGCTGAGTGTAGACTTGATGGCTGAGGTGTAGTCATGGCAGTCAGGCCTTCAGATTTCCTAGTGCAGCTCCAGGGACTGAGGTCCTTACACGTGGTCCCAGCATCATCTCGGACCACCTCAGGGACGAGGCAGCTGGTCCAGCTGATGCTCTGGCTCAGGCATCATGTGTCCCGAGGTACGTGGCAGACTTTCCATTTGACAGACGACTTAACTGAGGATTGGAGAAGTTAATTACCGATAACTTTCTTAGAGAAAATTAAACTTAACTAGTTTTAGTTAAGTATGTTGAACCAAGATTCGGTTTAGGTCTGGCTCTCAGGTAGTATTTTTTTCCTTTCTGTACTCTGCCCCTAGTTGGCTTGTTGTCATTAATACATCGAGTGTCTATTGGAAACCTAGAATGTGCTGGAATTTGTTATGGCTTCAAGCGATGCAAAGATAAAGAGGCATGAGGATAAGAAAGATATATAGGCAAACAAATCCAGGTAATTCAGAGTTTAACTTTGAAGCAAGGATTTGGGGGAAGAGGTATAAGAAGGAGCGATCCATTCTGCCTAGGATGAGATTGCATGGGGGAGAGAAGTCAGGAAGGGCTTCAGTGAGGAGGTGGCAGTTGAAAGAGCTGATTTAAAAGGGGAGTAGGTGATCCTCAAGATAAATGGGAAGGGAGAGGTGGAGGAGAGTGGAGGATGCTGAGTCACAGGAGCAGTGAATGAGGGAATGCAGGCTTAGAGCTGCAAAGCCCTTTAGAGGATGGTATGGGTGCGAAGGGGCAGGAGGCTTAAGAGAGGAAGCCTGGAGGTAGGCCTGCCTGCAAGCTTCGTGCTTACCTCATTGGCACTAGGGAGCCATTGAAGGATTTTCAGCAGGAAAGCGTTGAGATCCAAGTTTCATCATCCTCATTCCTTCATTTACAGTGCTCTTGTAGCATTTGGTGCTTACACAGCTCTGTGAGGATTTGCAATTATACATGTCTTCTCTCCTGGTAGACAGCATGCCCTTCAGGGCAGTGGCTTGTTCTTGCCCATCTTTGTGACTTCTTCACCCACTGCAGGACCTACTATGAGTGGGTATTCAGCACATCACTATTCGCTAAACACATTTTGGTGCTGGGGCCATACAGACAATGTCCTGCCCATACGGACTAATGCCCACCCATCTCCAAAGCCCTCTTGGTCCAGAGTGGTGCACCATGTAGGCAGCATGATACAGTGGAGAATATATGTACAGATGTGACTTTGTGGGACTTTAAGCAAGTTGTTTGACTTCTGTAAGGCTCAGTTTCCTCATCTGGAAAATGTCAGCAATAGTATGAGCTTACCAGATTGTTTTTTGTGTTAAAGCATATGTCAAGGTTAGTCGCAGTGGCTCATGCCTGTAATCCCAGCACTTTGGGAGGCCAAGGCAGGCAGATCACCTGAGGTCAGGAGTTCGAGATCAACCTGGCCAACATGGTGGAACCCCATCTTTACTAAAAATACAAAAATTAGCTGGGTGTGGTGGTGTGCACCTGTAATCCCAGATACTTGGGAGGCTGAGGCAGGAGAACCTCTTGAATCTGGGAGATGGAGGTTGCAGTGAGCCGAAATTGCACCACAGCACTCCAGCCCGGGCCACAGAACGAGACTCCATCTCAATTAAAAAAAAAAAAAAAAAAAGGACATGTATGTCAAGTGTAGACATGTAGTAGGTGCTCAATATATTTTAGGTATAAGAGAAATAATAAGTACCACCATGCTGGTCATTTCCCCATTGTTTCTTGGCTCTAAACCCTCCCTTCTCTACTCTGCTGTGTGAGGCTGGGGCTGAAACTCTGCCAACCACATTTCCCAGACTCCTTTGCCAGCTGTCTGTCTGTTAGGTTCTGCCAGTAGTAGGTGCTGCAGGGAGACAGGGGAGGACTCATTTCTGTTTGTTTCCTTTCAGTTTTGCTGGGGTACCAGCTGGGCAGCATCACCTCCGAGGAGGAGGGGTCCCAGCTCTATAGGGTCCCTTTCTTGCATTTCTAGATCATCACAACCTCAACCTCACCTCTTTGTTCCCCTAGCCTAGGGGAGTTAGCATCTTCCTGCAGTTATCTCTGTGTTACTTCGTGTTCTCTTTTTTGCTTCTTGACCCTTTCACACCAGAAGAGTCAATCCCTTATATTCAATACTGTCTACGGAAATACCTAGGATGGTTTCTGTTTTCCTGTGAGGACCCCTAACACTCACACCATAGCTGTGTATGGTAGTAGGTAGTAAGAGCCCTGTGGGTGGTATAGAGATCAGAAAGGGCATCACGGGGAAGCCACAGAGACCAAGGATTCAGAGGAGGGGATAGGGACAGATGTGGAGGCAAGCCTCAGAAGATGCAAGTCTCAGGCTTGATGGGTGGCACAGTACAAGCTGGCAGATAGGAAAGAGTCTAGACTGGTTGAAACATGAGGTTTGTATTAGGCTGGGACATGTCATGATGCTGGAAAGGCAGGTTGCAGCTAGAAGTAGAAGGCTTAGATGCCACAGCCTAGGGACAGGGAAGATGCAATTTAGAACTATAGACAGAGACTGAAGGCCAAAAGAGAAAAATGCAGCTGGATTCCCAGTTCTCCAGGCAGAGTGGGGTGGTGGACGTGGGCTGGACCTCCAGGAACTGGCTATGTGATCTTAGGCGAGTCATTTTGCTTCTCAGATCATGCCACCCTCTCTAAAGTAGATTCAAAAAAATCTAATTTGGAAATAGAAAGCTCTTTGCCAGTACAAAAAGTTACTGATGTTAAATGTTATTCTGACTGCATTCCAGTCTGGGTGATAGAGACCCGGTCTCTATTTAAGAAGACAAAACAGAACAAAAACTATTCTGAGTAGGTGGGGAGGAGTGGCTCTGGGGGAGGGGTTTTAGGAGGAGTGTTGTATTTCCAGGCTGGGAAAGGGAGGCGAGTGGGAGCCCAGTGAGGAAGAATTTGGGGAAGCCCTCAAGGGGTGTGATGGTCCACACGCAGACTGGGAAGAAAGGTGGGCAGAGAATGAGGGAAGGAATGGAAGAGGGAGACACGTCTGGGTGATGGGTGTGGACTGTGTGAGAAATGAAAGGCTGTGGGAACCTAGACTTGAGACTTTGAGCCTCTATAGGCAGAGGCTGACCCCACAGGGTTGGGAGGGGAAGGTGCCCTCACTTTTGGAGGCCCCAAAGATCCTGCAAGTAGAGGCCAGGTGCGGTGGCTCACCCCTGTAATCCCAGCACTTTGGGAGGTCGAGGTGGGTGGATCACCTGAGGTCAGGAGTTTGAGACCATCCTGGCCAACGTAGTAAAATCTCATCTCTACTAAGAAAAAATAATAATAATAATAATTAGCTGGGCGTGGTGGCAGGCACCTGTTCTCCCAGCTAGTTGGGAGGCTGAGGCAGGAGAATCGCTTGAACCCGGGAGGCAGACATTGCAGTGAACCTAGATCACACCATTGCACTCCGGCCTGGGCAACAAGAGCAAAACTCCATCTCAAATAATAATAATAATAATAATAATAATAATAAAACACCCTGCAAGCAGAGAGCTACTGGCCTCCTTTGGGGTAAGCCTAGGGTTGCTGGGAATCTCTGAGAGGTATCTGCTTTTCTTTACTTCTGCCTGTTTTATGTCTCCTGGGATGAAAGACACCATAGGGCTACAAAAACATGTTGCCAATCCCGAATTCAAGAAAATGGACTTGGAGAGAGATCCAAGATGGCCGTTTAGCAGCAGTTCAGGATTGCAGCTCCCAGTGAAGGTGCAGGGAGTGAGTGGACACCAGACTTCCAGATGAAGTTTTGTTGCCCACGGACCAGAAGATTCCCACCGGAGGAGCCCCACGGGTCGCCAGCGCGACTCTTTTGGCCGGCGTGGCTGTCCCGGCATGGCGATTCTCAGTGCGGAGTGTGCGGGACTGGGTGCCCTTTTGGTTGGCGTTTGGAGCATCGGGAAGGCAAAGTTGCCCATTCAGCTGATTGAAAGGGGGACTGAAGCGGGGACCCAGATTGGGAGATTCCCGGGCAGAAAAGCACCACGAATCTCAGCGCCGCTGTTTCAGCGGGCGCGGTGGCCACACGGGAGATTGCATAGATCCTGGTGCCTTTTCGGCAGGCGACTGGGGCACCTGGGAGAGAATCGACCATTCAATTAGAAAAAGAAAAAAAGGGGGCTCGGAGGCGGGGAGGCAGGTGATTGGGCTTGGCTGGTCCCACCCCCACAAAAAAGCAGCAGTTGGAAACGCTGACGGTTGAGAGTTTCACAGCAAGCACAGCTGAACCTGGGAAGGTCCAGCTGTGTGGGGGAGGGGTGTCCGCCGAAATAAAACAAAAAAACAGAAATAACATCATCACCAACAAGCTGGACATCCACTCAGAGACCCAATCTGAAATTCAGCAATTACGAAGATGACAGGTGGATAAATCCACAAAGATGGGAAGAAACCAGCGCAAAAAGGCTGTAAACATCTAAAGTCAGAATGCCTCTCCTCCTTCAGGGGATCGCAGCTCCTCATCAGCAAGGGAACAAGGCCTGATGGAGAATGAGTGTGATGAATTGTCAGAATCAGGCTTCAGAAGGTGGATAATAAGAAACTTATGTGAGCTAAAAGAACATGTTCTAACCCAATGCAAAGAAACTAAGAACCTTGATAAAAGGTTTGACGAAATGCTAACGAGAATAGACAATTTAGAGAGGAATATAAGTGAATTAATGGAGCTGAAAAACACAATACGAGAACTTTGCAAAGTATGCACGAGTTTTAACAGTCAAATTGACCAAGTAGAAGAAAGGATATCAGAGGTTGAAGACCAACTCGATGAAATAAAACGAGAAGACAAGATTAGAGAAAAAAGGGTAAAAAGGAACGAGCAAAGTGTCCAAGAAATATGGGACTATGTGAAAAGACCTAATCTATGTTTGATAGGTGTACCTGAATGTGACAAAGAGAATGAATCCAAGCTGGAAAATATTCTTCAGGATATTATTCAGGAAAACTTTCCCAACCTAGCAAGGCAGGACAATATTCAACTCCAGGTAATACAGAGAACACCACAAAGATATTCCTCAAGAAGAGCAACCCCAAGGCACATAATCGTCAGATTTATCAGGGTTGAAATGAAGGAGAAAGTGCTAAGGGCAGCCAGAGAGAAAGGTCAGGTTACCCACAAAGGGAAGCCTGTCAGACTCACAGCAGATCTCTCTGCAGAAACCCTACAAGCCAGAAGAGAGTGGGGGCCAATATTCAACATCCTTAAAGAAAAGAACTTTCAACCCAGAATTTCATATCTAGCCAAACTAAGCTTCATAAGTGAAGGAAAAATAAAATCTTTTGTGAGTAAGCAAGTACTCAGAGGTTTCATCACCACCAGCCCTGCTTTACAAGAGCTTCTGAAAGAAGTACTACACATAGAAAGGAACAACCAGTATCAGCCATTCCAAAAATATACCAAAAGGTAAAGAGCATCAACATAATGAAAAATCTACATTAACTAATGGGCAAAACAGCCAGCAAGCATTAAATGGTAGTATTAAACTCACATATGTTAATATTAATCCCAAATTTAAATCGACTAAATGCCCCAATCAAAAGACACAGACAGGCAAATTGGATAAAAAGCTAAAACCCATCAGTATGATGCGTCCAGACCCATCTCACATGCAAGGATACACAAAGACTCAAAACAAAGGGATGGAGGAAGATTTACCAACCAAATGGAGAGAAAAAATAAAAAGCAGGAGTTGCAATTTTTGCCTCTGATAAAATAGACTTTAAAGCAACAAAGATCAAAAGAGGCAAAGAAGGACATTACATAATGGTAAAAGGATCAATGCAACAAGAGGAGCTAACGATCCTAAATATATATGCACCCAATACAGGAGCACCCAGATACATAAGGCAAAGTTCTCAATGACTTATAAAGAGACTTAGACTCCCACACAATAATAGTGGGAGACTTTAATATCACATTGTCAATATTAGACAGATCAAAGAGATAGAAAATTAACAAGGATACCCAGGACTTGAACTCAGACCTGGAACAAGTAAACTTAATAAATATTTACAGGACTCTCCACCCCAAATCCACAAAACATACATTCTTCTCAGTGCCACATCACACCTACTCTAAAAGTGACTACATAATTGGGAGTAAATCACTCCTCAGTAATTGCATAGCATTTCACAGGTTCACATGAAATATTGGTTGGCTGCTTGTTTGTTATTTTCCTCCCTTATTCCTTCCTGTCTCCATTATTAAGCACAATTATTGGCATAAAAGAGGTTTTTAATATTCATTTTTAGACTGCATTCTAGCCTGGGCAATAAAGCAAGACTCCTGTTCTCTCTCCCTCTTTCTCTTCCTCTTTCTTTCTCTCTTTCATTTGTTTTTTTTTCTTTCTCTCTTTCTTTCTTTCTTTTTCTTTCTAAAAAAAAAAAGAAAAAGAAAATGGACTTTGCCCCAGCCTAAAACATGGAGGAAAAAAGTGAAAAGTGTTCTTGGAGAGTATGTGTGAGACAGAACCCGAAATACACAGCCAGAGAGCGAGGAGGTGGAGCCGGGGGGCTGGAAGGCTCTGCTCACTCATCCTGAGCCCAGACCTCTGGGCAGGAAGCCTTGTTCTTCTAAAAGCAAACTGCTTGTTTTTCACTGTATGAATAATGTATGTTCTTTAAAAAAACACAAAGAGAAAATACAGATAGGCAAAAAGAAGATATAAATCATCCACAACTCATCACCCAGATGCATATTTATGCTTCCAGATATTTTTTTCTGAATCTGCACATGTAAATGTAAAAAATGGCATCATTTATATTATTTGTAAACTGCGCTTTTCACTCCGCAGTCCATCATGGCCATCTTTCCGTGTCACTAAATGTGCTTCTGCGGTATCTTTGTAAATGATATCACAACCAGATAACAACGACAATAATTTGTATAGTGCTTTAGAGCTTACAAAGCACTGGGCATCATTATCTGTTTTTTTGTTGTTGTTGTTTTGAGATGGAGTCTCACTCTGTGACTCAGGCTGGAGTGCAGTGACACGATCTCAGCTCACTGCAACCTCCACCTCCTGGGTTCAAGCAATTCTCTGCCTCAGCCTCTCGAGTAGCTGGGATTACAGGTGGCTGCTGCCATGCCCAGCTAATTTTTGTATTTCTAGTAGAGGTGGGGTTTCACCATCTTGGCCAGGCTGGTCTTGAACTCCTGACCTTGTGATCCACCTGCCTCGGCCTCCCAAAGTGCTGAGATTACACGTGTGAGCCACTGTGCCCGGCCTGGGCATTCATTATCTTATTTCAGCTCTTGGCCTTCCAGCATGAAGGTCTTTCCCCTAGGAAATTCCGCTTCCAAAAGAGGCACCCCTGCCTCCTTCACACCTGTGCCTCCTGCTCCCTGGAACTCGCCACCCTCTAGGGAGGGATGCTGGCCAGGCCCCTTCTCCCTCTCCACTTCTTATCTGACCCCGCTGTCAACTTCTGTCCTTTTTGTCTCATTTCCTTGAGACTCCTTCTTCACAGTCTCAGAATTTCCTCTCGGCTGCTACCGTTGTCTTCTCTGCTTCATCTGTCCTCCCCTGTCTCTTCCTGCATGTCTGCCTGCCCCCCTCCTCCTGTCCAGTTCTGCTGAAGATATAGCGTGACACACTTGGGGGCTGGGAGCCAGAGCGGGCCCTCAGGATGGGACCTGTCTCATCTCCGGAAATGACTGAGCAGAAAGTCCCTCTGTTGTTCACAAGTGGGGAGGGTTAGGGGCCAGACCCACAGACATCAAAGGGGCAGGGCTGGGTAAAAAGTCCCGGGGTGTCCTCAGAGCATCCACAGATGTGTGCAGGGAGGTTCCTGAGTTCCCGTCTCCCTACCGCTGTCTCTCTCTTCCAGACCCTGCTCTGCTTCTTTCTCTCCTCATGGCCTACCTGGCATCCCATCCTTTCTTGTCCTACCTCCGCCACATAGAGGTCTTGGTTCCTGACAGCTGCCTCCCTCTGTGCGGAAGGAGAGGGTGGGGAGAGAGGCAAGAAGGCGTGCCCTCTGTCCCTGACTGGCCTCACTTTTTGGTCCTGGACCTTCAGTCCTGCGTTCACTCTGTGAGCCCCTCCCTATGCTCCTCTCTCCTCCCTCCTCTTTCGTGGTGGGAGTGATGAAGTTGGGGGGAGGCTGGACCTCTGCCTGCAACTCTGGGCCTGCTAAGTCGGGGAGGTCAAACCGTTCAGAGGCGCTGTTTTCCCAGGGCTGGATGAGAAGCATATTTCACAGAGCTGAATGAGGAGCAAATCAAAGCTGGGGCTGGACAAGCCAGGCAATTAGGCAAGATCCTGGGCAGGCGGCTGGATCTCCTGGCTTTGGAGAAGGGCAAATATTTCAGAGTTAGGGAAATCCAGATATCCATGCCCAGTGGTCACTCCACACCTCACCACATCCACTCTGAACACTTGCCCCATGGCCCATCAGGCCACCTTTCAACAGCAAGGACATCAGAACTCTGAGTCATGTGGCTCCTTTAAAAAGCCTTGCTTCAGCCAGGCATCAGCTGCAGCTGAAGATTTGATTTTTGGTGCCTAACTCACCAGGTATCCTTCCCATCTGACTGCATCCGGGGCTCTCCAAGCACCCTCCACTCCACCTGTGTACGAGGGACCCACCTGTGTACGAGGGGCCCACCTGTGTACCAGGGGCCCACCTGTGTACCAGGGACCCACCTGTGTACGAGGGGCCCACCTGTGTACCAGGGGCCCACCTGTGTACGAGGGACCCCCCTGTGTACGAGGGACCCACCTGTGTACCAGGGACCCACCTGTGTACGAGGGACCCACCTGTGTACGAGGGACACACCTGTGTACGAGGGACCTGCCTGTGTACCAGGGATCCACCAGGTACCTTGTGCACTATGTGTCAGGGCTCCCCAAGCATCCTCCACTCCAGCTGTCATCCAGGGTCCATGGGCTCACCAAGTATCTTCTGCTCTAAATCCAACTCCAGCTCCGCCCACCTGGATTCCTTATCTGGTACACATCCAAGAGGATGCCACATTTCCCACCCTCTCCAGCAGTAGATGGCTCCACCCTAGTGATCACTCACTAGTGATCCCCTTGGCTCATTAACCCAGAGGGGCTCAATTTCATGGTGGATGGCCAGGAGATGACCCAGGTGTTCAGGCTGTCTGCCTCCTGTGCAAAGAAAGGGGGTGGGCAGGGGTGTCAGCACTTTGTCAGTCGGCTTCACAGGGCTGGGAGGAGATCCACTCCAGTCCTATCCCTGGAGAGGCAGTGTTGGCCTCAGGAGTTGTGCATGGGCGCTTCGGGCTAGAAGCAGGAAGAGCTTTGCTGTGGGTTAGCAGGCACCTACTAACATCCCCCTTGTCCTTAGCTCTCAACAGAAAGTGGGAGAAGATGCCAACAGCTCATGGACCAGGGAGGGAGCTTCCACAATGTGTCCACGCTGGGCCAAGGGCAAGGTCCAAAGTGTCTACTCCAGGGCTGCCCCTAGGCTGGGCATCTAAGACCTGGTACTCTGCCAACCAAGCTCCCTGGGACTTGGAGGGAGCTTGGTGTTATGGGGTGGGATAAAAAGACATTGGCAAGAGCAGGCGTTGGAAGCTGAGCTTTCATGTCCTTGTACCCTATTCTTCTTCCTACATGGTGACAGCCAGGAACCACCCCCTGCTCCATAGCCAGAGCCTAGAGGAAGAGGAACCTCATCCTGCTGCCACTGACGCCTGGCACAGCTCACCTGAGGTTGGACCATGTCCACCTCCTCCCCCAGGCCTCTCTCCCTAGAGAACTCCAACCTGTTCTCCCAGTCCCCACAAAGAGCATCAGTTGTTCCTGAGCTTGGAAAGGGTAGGGTATGAGACCCATAGTCCCCAGCACCCATTCTCAGATGGGGGAATCTGCCGCAAGGCCACAGGGACAGTTCTGAGGGGATAGGTGGCAAACATCCCCTTCCTTTTTTTTTTTTTTTGGGATGGAGTTTCGCTCTTGTTACCCAGGCTGGAGTGCAATGGCGCGATCTCGGCTCACTGCAACCTCTGCCTCCTGGGTTCAGGCAATTCTCCTGCCTCAGCCTGCTGAGTAGCTGGGATTACAGGCATGCGCCACCATGCCCAGCTAATTTTTTGTATTTTTAGTAGAGACGGAGTTTCACCATGTTGACCGGGATAGTCACGATCTCTTGACCTCGTGATCCACCCGCCTCGGCCTCCCAAAGTGCTGGGATCACAGGCTTGAGCCACCGCGCCCGACCAACATCCCCTTCCTTTATGCTCCCCTGTCTTCTCCTAGCCAGCTACAGGCTATTTTTTCTGGAGTTCTGTCTGGATCTGGGGGAGAGGAGGGGTGTTTTTGGATTTTAGTTGCGGCATTTACTGCTCTGCCTCTGTGGTAGGTGTCCATCCTTCCTTCTCTGGGTCAACCTGCTGTCTGTCTGCAACTATCTCAGAGAGGACACATGTCTTCGCTACACAAAGCTTCCCTGTAGCGTTGGGAAGTCCCTCCTGAAGTCTGGCCTCCATTGATCTTGCTACCTAGTTAAATCCACTTCTTTTCTAGGACTTGGCCAGCGATCGAGCTTGTTTCCTAGGACCCCTACGTCCTCCTTCCCCCAGTAGTACTTCCGGGCCAGACACCACCTGCCCATCTTTGCAGGTGCAGCCCTGACAGCGTATTTCTGAAGCCCTCTTTTCTTCAACTTCCAATCCCTTCATTAAGCTCTTCTACATCCAGACGACCAGCGACCAGCGCTGTGAGGGTTGGGGGGCGTGGTGGGGAGAGGGGTGGACCCCACTGCTGCCCTGTGGGCATATGCAAATGCAGGCATGCCTGTGTGCTCTGCGTGAGCGTACAGGTCTCAGATCCAGGGCTTGCGTGGTCTCTCTACCCTTCCACCCTCCTGGAGGCCTCTTAGAAGCCCAGCAACAGAGGAAGGGAAGCCCAACCTCCCCAGCTTTCTCCCTTAGCTGCGGTTCTGCTGGTAACCATTAGGGGTCACTGTTGCTTCAGTCACCAATGCGGGGCAGGGGAGGGGTGGGGCTCCACACAGGTGGTCCTTGCTGCCCACCCTGACCCTGTGGGGATAACAGGGTAGTCGTTGTCATAGAGACGGCCTCACGCAGACTCGTGCCCCCTCCACTGTGGTGTGAAGGAGCTGTGGTTTGCAGGACAGCTGCTGTTGGGGGGTGAGCAAGGATGCCCAGAGGGGCTCATCTTGCCACACCCAGAGCGTGTGGCATTGGTATGGCATGGCAGCTATGCCCCAAGCTTCTGGGTGCAGGAAGCTAAAGAGTCCTGAGCCGTGAGCAGCCCCTCCCGCTGCCACCCCCTTCGCCAAGGTTTGAGGTCATTCTTTTGCAACTCTTCCCTTTCCAATGCCCTTATGGCACTGCCATAAAAGCCTGGAACTGACTCTCCTGTGCGACGTCCACATGCCTCAAAGGCGTCTCTACATGCAGGACAAACACTGAGATTCTGGCCCCCCAGGATAACCACAGGGTGCCAGACACACGGACCCTGCTCTGCTGTGTGTCCCCTGGCTTGGGTGGGGGGGGGCATCTGGCATGAACAGGTGATGTCATCAGGGCCTCTTCCCTGCCCCATGTCTGCCCACTTAAAGTCTGTCCTATGACACTCCAGAAAATACCCACCCAGTGGACCTATATAACAGACATAACAAGGGCTGTAATTAAGATGAGGTGTCGGGGCCTGGCTGGTTCTGCTTGGAGGCTAGACACAAAGGTTCCCTGCCGGGCTCAGCCACTTCTGGTCCTGAGTGGGAGATAATAGCAAGATTGTCCTGCCTCACTGCCATGGCAACCCTGGCTGCTCGGGTCCTCATGGAGGTGCTGTTTGACAGCAGCGTATTTATACTGTGTCTCTGCCTTAGGGTCACCACCTCGAGTCCCAGAGGAGGGAGAGAGGAAGTTCATCCAGTGTTAACACCATGTAGATGGAGAGATAATGGGCTGCCTGGGACCAGGGTACAAACAGGCCTCAGCATTTATTGTGCCTTCTTCAGTCTTCCCAAGAGAGGCAGGCACTGGGGGCGGGGCTGGGCGAGGGTGAGGGGAGGGGGGAAGATGAGGCTCTTAAAGCCTTAAGCATTCAGGTCGAATCATTGAGGGGAGGGACTGGAGAAGGGGCGACTGTCCTCCAAGGGATGCACCAAGCTTGGGGGGCCCTAGGTGGGGCAAGAGGAGAGGAGGAGGTGAGGGCGGGCAGGCTGGGAACCACTCCCCAGGCCCCGGGCTTCTCCCCACAACACCTGGTCGGTGGGGCCGAGGGGAGGAGGTGAAAAGCAGTGGCAAGCAAGGCGGCCATGGGGCCCCCCAACCCTGCCTCCCACAAATGCAGGGAGAGCATCCCAGGCCTGCTTCTGATTGCTCGTCTGATCTCAGACATGTTGATGCCCCTACCTGTCCACAGGAGGCTCCAAACGGAGGGGCAGGACCTCTAGGCTGGGCAGGCCCCGCTTCCTAGTCTGAGCAGGGTCCCTTGACTGAGGGCAGGACATCCGTCCCTGGCCCGATCTCCACTCCTCCTGCTGTGACCCTGCTTGCTTTCCCCCAGGGACTCAGAGTCTGAGAAACTCCTATGGTGAGACCACTCTGCCGCCCTACAGCCTTCCCTGCTCCTGTTCTCTCCCCAACCCTCGGCGCCCCCCCCGCCCTGTCTGCGTGGGGGCGAACATCTAGACATCTCAGCCACAGAGGTCGGGTCCCTTCCTCTCTGCCCATGGGAGGCCAGTCAGCCAGGGAATGGGGTGCCCCTCAGTGCCCTGGACCCCCATTTTGAGGGCTGCAGTCTGAGGAAGCCGCTCTTGGGGTGGGTGAGGAGTCAGGCTCTGCATCCACGGGAGGCAGGGAGCCCCGGCCACCCCGGCACTCCGGGCTGTAGTAGAAGGAGAGGTGGCGGAAGGAGGGCAGCAGCTCCTCCTGTATGCTGTCCAGAATGTGCGTGAAAGCTGGGCGCAGGCGCGGGTTTGGCTGCCAGCAGCGGCTCATCAGCTCCTGCCTGGTGGGTGTGGGGAGCAGGGTCAGAGACATCCTGGAGCCCCTGCCACACTCAGCCTCCTGCACTGAGAGTCAGTTGGTGGAAGTGGGGGTCGTGGGGCATTATGCCTGGGAGAGTGAGGGGGTTAAATGGGAGTTGTGGGGGTTTGGGACAGGGAGGGGTGAGGCTGATAGCTGAGGATCAGTGGGTGTCGAAGCATCAAAGGAGGTGAGCCAGAATCATGCGGGCGGGTGGGGGAGGGTTGTACTTAGAGCAGTGATGATGAGGGGGGAGGGGAGGTGACTCACAGTTGAAGGGGACAGCCTTCCAGATCCTCCAGGACCCCGCCATCCATGACGAACTTGAGCACCTGCTCGTTGGACAGGCCCTGGTAGGGTTGTTCAGCCAGGGTCACAATCTCCCAGAGTACCACGCCGAAGGACCTGGAGGGCATGCAG